TGCTGTGCTTGAGCCCATCATTGCAGCTCCTGTGCCAATCCATCTCATTGAAGGTCTTCCCCTTTTACGCTGACCCTCTCCTTTACCAAACGCAATATCCTTCTCCTGGGAATGGTCCCTTCTGACAACATGACCAAAGCAGATGAGACAAAGTCTGGTCATTCTTATTTCTATGGATCATTCTGGCTGTACTTTGCCCAGGACAGATTCATTCATTCTGGAATTTCCATGGAGTTTTCAGTATTTTTTGCCAACATCACAATTCAAAGGCATCAACTCTTCTTCTGTTTTCCTTATTCACTGTCCAGTTTTCACATCCATACGAACTGATTGAAAACACCAATCACCTTGGTATTGTCTTGGGTTAGATAAACCTTAGTCTTTGGAGTGACATCTTTGCTCTTGTAGGTGATGAAATAAGCACATGAAGAACTTAGAAGCATTTTACAAAGAAGTATAATTTGGTAGCTATGTCTTCTAGGTGATACATTATGATTACTATGTAGTGGAAACACTGAGAACAGGTGTTTACACCAATCATTCTGTTCTAGGAACAAGAATAATTGTGATCGTTATCTTACAATTGAGAGGATGAAGCTGAAGGGAACCTCTGGTGGCATAGTGCCTAAGGCATTTGGCTGTTAAATAGAAGGCTGGCAGTTGAGGCTTAGTTGTTGTTGTTGTTGTTTGCCCTCGAGTCGGCCCCGACTCATAGCGACCCCTCCTTGGGTTTCCGAGGCAGTATCACTACGGAAGTAGGATTGCCCAACCTTCCTTCTGAGGAGTGGCTGGTGGGTTTGAACCGCCAGCCTTCTGGTTAGCAGTCAAGTGCCTTAGGCACACTATGACCACAGCTCCCACTACAGAAGTAGGATTGCCCAACCTTCCTTCTGAGGAGTGGCTGGTGGGTTTGAACCGCCAGCCTTCTGGTTAGCAGTCAAGTGCCTTAGGCACACTATGACCACAGCTCCCACTACAGAAGTAGGATTGCCCAACCTTCCTTCTGAGGAGTGGCTGGTGGGTTTGAACCGCCAGCCTTCTGGTTAGCAGTCAAGTGCCTTAGGCACACTATGCTACCAGAGCTCCTAACGTTTATTTAGTGGTCCTTTAATTTCATTCAGCAATGTTTTATAGTTTTCTGTATTTAAGTCTGTCAGCTTCTTTTGTAAATTTATTTCTAGGTTGTTTTTTTTTTTTTTTGTTTTAGATACTATTGAAAATGGAATTATTTTCTTAATTTCCTTTTCAGATTCTCATAGCACAGAAACCCAATTAATTTTTGAATGTTGACCTTATCCTCTGCAAATTAATGAATTCACTTATGAACACTCATACCTCTCATATGGATTCTATAGAGTTTTCTTTATATAAGAACATGTCATCTGTGAATAGAAATAGGTTTCCTTCTTTCTTTCCATTTTGGATGCCTCTTATTTCCTTTTCTTGCCAAATCACTCCCAAAAGAACTTCTAGTACAATGTTGAATGGTGAAAACAGATAGTCTTGTCTTGTTCCTGATTCTCTTGTCATTAGGTACCACAGAGTCGGTTCCAAAGCATAGTGACCTCATGTATAACAGAACTAAATGTTTCTCAGTCCTGCACTACCCTCACAATCATTGCTACGTTTGACCCCTTTAAGGAGAATATTTTCTTTCACGATGGAGTATGCTGTTAGTTGTGGAGTTTTCATAAATTTTATGATGCAAGGAGTTTCCCTTCTAGTCATTGTTTGATGAGGGTTTTTATTATGAAAGGTGTTAAATGTTGTCAAATATCTTTTACGCATTGTAGCATGTGCTTTTGCTTGTGTGTTTTGTTTCTTCCTTCATTCTGTTAATGTGCTGTGTCACATGTATTCATTTTCATATGTTGACCCACCCTTGAATTCCTAGAATTGGTCATGAGGTATAATATTTTTAGTATACTTTTGGATTTTATTTGATGGTATTTTTTGAAGATGTTTCTATTTATATTCATAAGAGATATTGGTCTGTAATTTTCTGTTCTTGTGATATTTTTCTCTAGATTTGGTATCAGGATAATGCCAGCCTCATGGCATGAGTTAGGAGGTATGCATTCCTTTCTCTTTTGCTTTTTATAAGCATTTATAAGCATTCTTCTTTGAATGTTTGCTAGAATTCACAACGAAGTCACCTTGTTCTGAACTTTTCTCTGTTGGGATGTTTTTCATTACTAATTCAATGTCGTCATTTGTTTTAGATTTGTTGAAATCTTCCTTTCCTTCTTTAGTCAATTTAGGTGATACCACCTCGGAAACCCAAGGAGGGGTCATTATGAGTTGGGTCTGACTCGATGGCACATAACAACAACAATAACAGTACATATTTTGGATTGAATTTTTTCTACCAGTGAAGTTATACTGAATAACATGGCAAGAAGTAGGTTATCCACAAATAATTGTTAAATAAAACACACAGAAAGATGTTTTCTTTTTTTTTTTTTTATTTTGACTATGCAAAGGCATTTGAATGTGGGGACTATGACAGATTATGAATATCATTGTGAAAAGTTTAAATTCCAGAATACTTACTTATGCTCATGTGGCACCTGTATACAGACCAAGAGTCAGACATTTAAACAGAGCAAAGTGATATTCATGGTTTAAACTCAAAAAAGGTATGAGTGCAGGTTGTATTTCCTTATCATATTCATTCCATATGTATACTGAGCAAATAATCCAAAAAGTTGGACTATATGAAAAAAAAAAAACAAAGCATAAGGATTGGTGAGACTCATTAACAATTTGTGATATGCAGATGATACAAACTTGCTTGCAGAAAGCAGAGGACTGAAATTGTTTACTGATGAAGATCAAAGACTACAGCTTTCTATACAGATTACATCCCAACATAAAGAAAACAAAAATCCTAATAACTTGACCTATAACATATATCATGAGAAATGGAGAAAATAGTAAAGTTATCAAGGTTTTCAGTTTGCTTGAATCCACAATCATTGCCCGTAGAAATAGCAGTCGAAAGTCAAATGACATTGCATTGGGCAAATCCTCTATAAGAGACCTCTTTAAAGTGTTAAAAAGAACTCGGTCACTTTGAAGACAAACAGGCCATGGTAAGTGTCACATGTATTCAGGCCATGGTATTTTCAAGCACCTCATGTGAATGAAAGCTGGACAATGAATAAGGAAGACTGAAGAAGAATTAACGTCTTTGACTGATGGTTTTGGTAAAGAATACTGATTATACTAGGGACTCTGAGAACAACATACAGATATGTCTCGGAAGAAGTACAGTCAGAATGCTTCTTAGAAGTCAGTCCCTAGAGAAGGACATCATACTTAGCAGAGGGTCAGTGAAGAAGAGGATGATGCTCAACATGATGGATGACAAGGGTTTCAACAATGGACTCAATTATACAATGATTATGAGAACGCTGCAGGATTGGGGAATGTTTCATTGTGCTATACATAGGGTTACTACTAGTTGGAACTGACCCAATAGCAGCACTTACAAGTTCAGAACAACAAGATGACCTGAAAATAATTTATTTGGTATATTTTTTCTAGTGTGAAATATTTACATTAATAATAATAGCATAACTTACCCAAATCACAATATAGAGTTTTTAAAAATGTCATAATTTATTGAGTGTTTACTAAGTGCCAAGCTATATTCTAAGCAGTTTCTACGTTTTCACTCACTTAATACTTTTGACTATATTTGTATGTACAATTTAAGAAAAATTGCAGGTAGGGAAACCAACACATAGAAAAATTCAACCCCTGTCACAAGAACAGATGGTTTAATTGCAAAGTCAGACATTCTGAATTCAGAGTCTGAGTTTTACTTTCTGTGATAGAGTATCCTTCAAAAGTGACGCATCTCTTAAGGAAGAATGTTAAGTTAAGGAAATACTTGACTAATTAGAAATGTCTCTGCTCCTAAATGAAGAATAGCTTCCCAGGAGTGCATACAACTCTTGTTGCTGAAATAGTGCAGAGCTGTGGTGTAGGTCACAGCCACCCTGGATCACCTCCTTCAATAGCTAAATTAATCCCCCTAGTGAATGGGAGATTCTTTACTGTATGAGTTTAATTGTATACATTCTTTCTCATTTCTTTTATGTTCTTCAATCTTCACTCTTGTACCTTGACCCTATCCAAATGCTACTGAAGAAAATTTTCCAAGGACACACTCTAATGCAGTTGAAAGTTCAGCAATCTGATGATTTCTTTGGTCACAAAAAAAAAAAAAAAAGTGACATGCATATACATGTTGTTGTTGTTGTTATTTGCCATCGAGTCGCCCCGACTAATAGCTACATGGACAGTGGTTATTTCTCAATTTGAAAAGGAACTTTGCCTGAAAGAAAGCGGAACAAGCTTTCAGTTTCCTTTCACACAGTGAGGGTGAGAGGAAGAAGCCATGGCGGGTGAGTTTTTTACTCTTTAAAATGATACATCTTGAGGAGAAAATCACTTTTGCAAGGGGGAGCTCTTTAATAATCTTAATTAGGTTTTGTGAATGTTTACTGGGGCAGACTGAAGGATCGGCAGAAGAAGGGAGTTAGAGAGACGAGAGAGTAGCAGAGGAAGAAGCTTTTACAGCCTTTGTAAAGCAAAAATCGCGAGAAAGAAAGGAAGCAAGGCTTTGCTGTATCCTGCTGCCGTTTTGCAATCTTAACTGAATTTTCAAATGAAATGAGCCTGACTGAGATTGCGTAACGGCATCAGGGTGGGAAACTGCGGCCATTGCCCCCAAAGGAAACAGGCTCTCACTCAGCCTCTTTGGAGTTAAACACAAAGCTTGTCAGCAGCATCTCTGATCCTCAGGCACTAATGTGATGACAGTAAACATGGCTAATCATGAGGGAAGAAATGGGAAAGGTGCTGAATATGGTGAGAGGCTTTTTTCCCCCCCAATCAAATTTAAAGGAGGCTATTTCTTGTTACTGACATGAGAAGAAAATTAAGCTCTTTTCATGACTTGGTGAATCCTTGCTCTTTCAACAGACAAAGTCCTGAAGGAGAAAAGGAAGCTCTTTATCCAGTCAGTGAACAAGGGCTCAATAAAAGTCTTGCTGGATGAATTATTAGAAAAAAAAGTGCTGAACCAGGAGGAGATGGAGTCAATAATAGATGAAAATCCTACAGTCATGGATAAAGCCCGAGCTTTGATTGACTCTGTCATTCGTAAAGGGCCCCGGGCATGTGAAATATGCGTCAACCATATTTGTGAAGAAGACTCTATCATTGCTGAGAAGCTGGGGCTGTCCCCAGGTAAGGGTCAATGAGTCATATTGAAGTTTAAATAGATCTTGAGTCGAACGTATGATATCTGCATTAGTTGTGCAGAAATCAGTGTGGAGAAAACACCCTTGCCTCTGGACTCAGGGCCCTATCTCTCTCACTGTTTACATTGCAGTCTCCACTCTCTCTCTTCTTGCCTGTTCCTCTGGCCTCTGTTTCTTTTTGTATTTGAGCTCTTTTCTTGCCCTGTGAGTTTGGTGACTCATTCTTTAAAGTTTATGGGAAAAGTCTGAGAAACTTCATCCTGCAACTAAAGTCCTCTGCCATGTCACATTATTATGTATTTATTATTATTATTATTACTATTTGTATTTTTGGCTAAAACTGGTGATCCCTAGGAACATGTATGTAGTTTTCTGATATGAAGAACTCAGATCTTTCTTTTCCACCACAGAGTTGAAATACTTTTTACAATCTCTTTCCAAAAGTTTGCTCTCTTGGAGGAATTTATGTTCTAATGGTGGTAGAACACACAGAGACTAAGTGGAATATTTACAGAAAATTAAGGATTTTAAATGGACTCCTTCCTCTAGTTGGCCCTTGATTTTTCTTTGGGGTAAGATTGCCCATTTGCAGGTACTGGGTGTGAGGCCCAGTCTTTCTACCTCCAGTCCTCCCCCATGGGTGCTAATAGGGGCTAAGGCATCTGAACTGACCCTAAGATTCTATAGTTCATCCACACAGTGAAAATGCAAACTCTGAAGGTGGGCCAGTCACTGATCACTGTTGCACTTCCCAGAGCCAATGTGAAGGGGGAGATGTCCTTTGAAAACATGAAATCTGTTTTCTAGAGAATAAGAGAAGCCTATGTCTGCTTGAGCTGACATATCAGATGCTTTCTGTGTCATCTATTTGTAATGAATTTCTTGTTTTTCTTTCAATCCGTCTTTACTATTGTGCACTTTTGACCTACAACCAAGTTAAAAACAATCAGTCAATGGAATAAAGATGAAGATTAATAGCAAAATAGTCAAAGCTTCTTCCTTGCACCACTCTTTTCAATCCATCTTCCTTGAATCCTAGAGGCACAATGTCCTGGAATACTTCTAACACCTGAGTCCTGCCTCTCTAGATTTCCAACAATATCCCCATAGTCAGGTATTTCATAGCTTTGTCTCCCCTTCATCCATGTGCCTTTTTTTTTTATGGCTATAGTATATGATAATTAGATGTACTTATTGAATGTACCCTAATGGGAGAGTCTTTCTAGAAGACATTTCTTGGCATGTATGCTACGGCCATGCAAGGCCTTCAGACATTTTTCTTGAAATTCTTGATGGTTAATTTAGACCAGCAGTCTAGGTGGGAACCAAAATCAAAAACAAACCCACTGCTATAGAGTCAATTCCAACAGTTTATTTTCTTGGGCTTGAAGTTTTATGGGACTTTCTGTAGCTCTCCTGAACTGAGACAGGGACATGGGCAATTTTGTTTTCAATGTTGTTGTTGTTATGTGCTGTAGAGTCAGACCCGACTCAATAGGTACTATGAACTAAAGACTTGTAGGTTTCCTTAATTGTTAGCTCATGTTAATTCTAAATGTTTCTGGAATAAGTTTCTTAGGTGAGTATTTTTATATTGAGATTCTTATAAAACCCTAAATAAACTGAATATCAATTCCTCTCCTTCTTGAAATAAACAATCATAATGGATATGGATGCCAGAGGAGAAATTAACAATAGGTTTGGGCAATTGTATGCAACCAAATAGTGTAACTAAAGGTTTTCAGTGTTTTCCTCCTGGCAATAGGGCATATGTTACTGACAGGAAGATTGTCTTTGCCTGAGAAATTTCAGAGATTATAGTCAGAGCACCCATTACTTGTACAAATGTACTTTGCCCATTGTGGGTCCTCTTGCAGAGTCACTTAGTGATTAAGATCTAACAATGAGTCAAGACAGATTTTGTGTTAGTATTCTGGCTCCATCAGTTCATTCTCTATGACATTTAGGAAACTTCCTTAAAGCGTCTGAAATAATGATTTAATAATGGTCCTGTCCAAGAATGGCTTTTCCCTCCACACAGTGAAGACTGACACTCTGGTGGACAGCCAGGCACTGAACTTGATTGTATTTACCAGTCACTAAATTACCTTATACCTAAAAGCCCAGTTTAGGGCTTACCACAAACTAGCAACAGTATATGCTAGTTACTTCTTCTTCCTCTTCTTCGTATTCGTGCTTATAGTGAAATAGTACAAAAAATGTAGGGAAAGGGGAACAGAATACATATAGCTAAGATGACAAAATATTTTCCAGAAACTTTCAAATAGTATAGCATTGTTTTTGTTGTTGTTATGTGCCGTCGAGTTGAACCCAGTGGATTTTAAGAAAACTGTAAGAAAATTGAGCATATCTAGCTTATGTGTAACTAGATCTCACCTACTTGCATATTTGGAAATTGTGGTACACATGCAATAAATATTTGCTAAATATTATTTCACTGAATTATTTAATCACTATCACAATCACTAATATTTATTGTGGCCGTGTATATATAATGCAACCACTGCCGTGGAGTCGAATCCAAATCATAGCGACCTCTCCTTGGGTTTCCGAGGCAGTATCACTGTGGAAGTAGATTGCCCAACCTTCCTTCCGAGGAGTGGCTGGTGGGTTTGAATCGCCAGCCTTCTTTCTGGTTAGCAGTCAAGTGCCTTAGACACTATGCTACCAGAGCTCCTATATACATATGTTGTTGTTATGTGCCATCGAGTCAGACCAGACTCATAACGACCCCTCCTTGGGTTTCCGAAGCAGTATCACTACGGAAGTAGATTGTCCCATCTTCCTTCCGAGGAGTGGCTATTGGGTTTGAACCACCACCTTCTGGTTAGCAGTCAAGTGCCTTAGGCACTATACCACCAGAGCTCCCCCCCACACACACACATATATATATCACATGACAACTAAGTTTCATGGCCTGTTCTATGGACTGGTTCAAGTACAATAAACAAAATACCCAAATCCTGCTTTAATTGAGTTTATATGAATATGTGAAGCATGAATGGATAGCATATAAGAATCTTACTTATTAAATTAATATTAGATACAAATTTATCAATAAAAATGCCATTAAGCACACATCTATCAGTTAAAGTAATATTGGATGCTGTAAAAAACTTAACAGTTATCATAATTCAGATATGATAGAAATATATTATTAGTTTCATAAATTTTACTCATGAAAATTATAAAATAGGCATCTTTGATCAATTGGCAGCTCTCCCCCAAGTGGTAATTCAAACACCTAGACCTCTTCATACTTGTGGCTCTGATATCTACCATATAAGATGCTAAAGTCATCTTGGTCATCACCATCCACTAGAATTGGAAAGTACATGGAGGATCAATTATTTGTGTTCATATTCCAATCACAAGAACACCCCTGGCTGTAAGAGTGGTTGGAAATTTAGAGACTAGCTGTGTGCCCAGGAAGATGAGAATTTTTGAATAGCTAACCATTCATTTCTTAACTTTAAAAAAAAAAAAAAAAAAAAAAAATTAAGCAAAAACTTTCATTGCACACAGTAATGGAAGTAGCACATAACTTTCCTAGTTCCTAAATGACAAGGAAGATATAAAAAGTTTTCATTGCTCTCCCTGAAAACCTAAGTCATCATGCTCGAGGATTCTTTTTGGCACATCTGAGTCTTATATGAACCTAGCCTCACCTTTACCAAATAAGCAGTATTTTAATTGTTCTAGAACATGTTTTCATCACTAATTCTGGGATGATTTCATCCCAAAGTCTCATTTTCCTCTTATAATAAAAGAAATTTATGTTTAAAAGAAATTTAGTGGTGAGGGAATCAAATATTTCACCCACCTCAGAAATTGCTCTACTAAATCATGAAGGGTGATTATCCCATGTGTGCTTGCTTGAATTTTCATAGGGTGAGGCATTCAGTAAATAACCAAAAAACCCTTTTCTTTTATTAAGAAATGTTAAAAGGGAGAGCCAAATCTTTCTATTTAATTTTCCCCACTGTTGTCCAAGCTTCTCTAAGAAGAGACAGAACATTTCTCTCATCTAATGATGATTTCTGTAGTTTTCTCCAGGATATCCATTCTAATTATTTCTTCATTTTTGAATAGTCAATCCATTTTATGTACCTTGTTTTGGCATAGTGCCTAAGGGATTTGACTGCTAACCAGAAGGCTGGTGGTTCAAACCCACCAGCCACTCCTCGGAAGGAAGATTGGGCAATCTACTTCCTTAGAGATGCTGCCTCAGAAGGAACTTCAAAGGAAGGGTTGCTATGAGTCAGATCGGACTCAATGGCAGTGACTTTTTTTTTTTTTTTTTTTCTGGTTTGGTTTACATATACTGAATATTCAGTAGTTTCTTCAAATTCCTCTTCAAGTTGTAGATCAAAATTGAATATGATTTTCTAGTTAGTTTACTTTCAAAAGGATTCTCCAAGTATCAGTAAAACTTATCCTTATTTTAAAACTGACAAATATTACTTTAATTCTTTTTAGAAAGTAATCATATTGTCAGATGGTATTTAACATACAATTAACTAGAGCCTCAGGATTTTCTCGCTTAAAACTGAAAACTCTTCCTCATAAGTTGGCGCAATCAATGTCTAATGCCATAAATTCATTTAGTGTGCACAATGATTTTACCATTTATCAGTCTATTTCATATTCATTGCTGTTCATATATTCAATACCCCTCCCTTTCTCCCTATGCACACAAGAGAGATAGACAGCTTACAGGATAGGATAAAGACTTATTTATCTTCACCTTCATTATCATCTTCATCTTTGTCTTCTGCTTTTATATTCCTGATACACAGTGTTAGTCCTGTTAAGTAAATAAGTAAGTAGATAAATATATATCCTTTTAAAACAGTTAAATATTGTCACTAAGATCAGCTTCCATTGCTTTTTCTCCTAAACTCTTCTTATGAAATAAATTTATATCCTAATTATTTAATCTAGGAGCTCTGGTAGCATAGTGCCTAAAGCACTTGACTGCTAACCAGAAGGCTGGTGGTTCAAACCCACCAGCCACTCCTTGGAAGGAAGATGGGGCAATCTACTTCCATAGTGATACTGCCTTGGAAACCCAAGGAGGGGTAGCTATGAGTCGGCACATAACAACAACAACAACAATTATTTAATCTAACATTGGTTATTTTTCTGAGAGCTTTTTTCATTCATAGCCTTGAAAACCTCCCTTCCTTTGTTTTCATACCAAAAGATTGATCCTGAAGGTAGCCCTGTGTCTTATCACAGGAAATTTCCCTCTGGTTTGGAATGTGTCCAATTAACAGTGAACTCACTTAACAAAGTTGACAACTAGCCCAAGGTTCTCCCCTTAAGAATGCATTTCCTCCTCTCTGGCTTCATACATAGATGATGCTGCGAAAAGTGTCAAACAGGAATGCCAAGGGTACCATTATTCATTATGTTTCTTGTTTCTTACAGCTTCTTCGGCAATGAAGGACTGTACAACTCAGCTCACATTCTCAGGGCCAAAAGGAAGCCTTAAGCTTTGCTTGCCAGAAACAGCACAAAGGATATTGAAAGAGAAGCCAGACGAGGTGCGGTGGTCAGAACACAAGGATAAGGGGTGAAAGATTCACTTGAAGTTAATTTTGAAGTACTGTGGTTCTTTCTTAGAGCCAGTTTTGTTCAGGGGTTCTCAAAAATCATCATATTATTTTCCTGTATAAAGGATTCATACTACCAAGAGTTCCTGGATTGTGTGGAGAGTTCCAAGTTTGGTCCCATAACTTGACTAATGAGCAACAAAAATAACTATTGACTGTTTAATATGTATCAGATATTGCTGTAATCATTTACATATAATGACATCTTCAAACATCAAATAACTTGTATCAGTTATCAGAAAACTGAAACATGAGCAATTAAATATTTTCCTCAAAGTCAAACAAATAATATTTGTAGGAGTTATTTTTAAGATTCAGTCATTCTGGCTTCAAAGCTGGTGCATCACTTATAATTTTATATCTCAATAATAATTTAGTCTAGTCCCCTGCTACCATCTAGGCATTAATAAACTCCATCTCTGTTCATACAGTCTGACTCATTCCCTTTTTCCAGTTTTGCCTATGGTTCATGGGATTGGGAGTCTGGATAGACTTAAGAGAGAAAAACTCCTTAGACTCTTAAGGCAAATATGTAATTTAAGGTCTCACCATTAAAGAAAACAAAAGTATGCATTCAACCTGTATTTTCCACAGATTTACCCAATAAAAGAAAGGTTGACCCGCACACGTCTGGCCCTCATTATCTGCAACATGGATTTTGAGATTCTTCCCAGGAGGACTGGTGCTGATGTTGATCTCAGAGGGATGAAGATGTTGCTAGAAGAATTGGGGTACAAAGTGGATGTGAGAGAAAATCTCACTGCTACGGTAAAGTCTATCATACAAAATTGCTCATATATATCATACATATTCATACATATTTTAAACACTCTTGGAAAGCTTGGTTTTAGCATCAGAAAATTAATCTTGTGATATTCTAGAATATACTCATTTCTTTGGAGGGCACTCCATGCTACAAATTCCATTCTAATATAGACTGTTGTAGCAGGAGCTTGTAGAACTTTTATTTGGGAAGTATTCTATTAACTCAGTGATGTCCTTTTTTTCTCTGTACTAGAAATCCCTGAATGACTTCCAATAACCCTTTTCTTCACCTTTTGCTGAATTAAGAGTTGAATATTCTTTTCCACTCCATTGTTTTTCCTATTACCCAGCAATACTTTAAGTGCCCCTTTACTTGATTGCCAAGTACCATGAGATTGAATCACAAAGTAAAAAGTCAGTGGTATGGCTTCTTTCAGGACATGACTTCAGTACTGATGGAATTTGCTGCCCGTAAGGAGCATGAAAACTCTGACAGTGCTTTCCTGGTGTTCATGTCTCATGGCATTCGGGATGGTATTTGTGGGACAAAGTACTCAGAGAACATGGCAGATATATTAGATGTCAATACCATCTTTCAATTACTGAACACCCGGAACTGTCCAAAATTGAAAGATAAACCCAAGGTGATCATTATCCAGGCCTGCCGTGGTGGTGAGTACTGAGATCTTCTAGAGTTCAAGACATTCAAGTACTAACTTCACCATCTGTTTACATCCAGTAATTTTGACTTTTGTCATATCTGCTCCTTCATGGCAATGAATATATGCTGTCAATAAAGAAGATGGTAGCTTTTGTGAAGTGTAGGACTGGCTGGTAGATATTTGTTCTATTTTTAACTAATAAGGTACTACTTTTCATGCTGAGACTTTGGTATTTTAAGGTTATTAGAATTTCTTTGAGGGTGAAGAGAGAATAACAATAGAAGTTGTTGAAATGATTATTCTGAGATGTATGTGTGTATGTGCATGTGAATGAAAAATGAATTAATAAATATGGTTAATCAGAATTCTAGGGGAGAAAGTTTGCCTTTTGGTAATTGATAATAATAAGAATCTTGATCTTGGCTTTTCAGAGAACCAAGGAGTGGTGTGGTTTAAAGACTCAGTAAAAATTTCTGCAGATGCAGACCATGACTCAATGGCTCCAAAAACGTTTGAGGATGATGCCATTAAGAAAGCCCACATAGAGAAGGATTTCATAGCTTTCTGTTCTTCAACACCAGGTAATGACAGGATCCTAGTGGGGTTACCAATGCTGAAATTCACACCCACCTATTAGATTCCTGTGTCGCACTTTAGATAGGATTTTTCAAGATCAAGTCAATCATTCTTCCTTACACTTTCAATTCCCCTTGTCCACAGAGACCAAATATTCATGTATTTGCAGTGAATTAGTAATTAGTAAACTCTTCCATGGTGCAAATATTTTTCTTAAAAAGGAAGGCTATGATATTAGCACAACGACAGGCACATAGACTAGTAGAACAGAATTGAGAACCCAGAAATAGATCCATCCACCTATTGTCAGCTGTTCTTTGACAAAGGGTGAAAATCTATTAAATGGGGAAGAAATAATCTTTTTAACAAAAAAGATTTTGCTGACAGAATTGGATATCCATTTGCAGAACAATGTAACAAGATCCATACCTCATACCATAAACAAAAACTAACTCCAAATGGATCAAAGACTTAAATGTGAAACCTAAATCTATGAAGTTCATCAAGAAAAAATAGGGGGAAACCTAGGGGCCTTAATTTATGGAATAAATAGACTATCAAGCATAATCCAAAATACACAAACAGTACAAGATAAACTAGATGATTGGATCCTTCTAAAAATTAAATTCTTCTGTGCATCAAAAGATTCCTCCAAAAGAGTAAAAGGAGAATCTACAGAATGGGGAAAAAATGTTCAGTGGTGACATATCTGACAAAGGACATCTCCCTAAAATTTATAGAAAACTCCAGCACTTCAACATTAAAAAGACAAACAATCTGATTAAAAAATGGGCTGAAGACATTATAGACACTTCACTAAATAAGATATTCAAGCCAGTCAGCCAACAAATACATGAAGGAATGTTCACAGTGATTAGCTATTAGAGAGATGCAAATCAAAACCATAATGAGATACCATCTCACCCCAGCATTAATAGCAAAGTTCAACAAGACAGAAAATAACAAATGCTGGTGAGAATGCAGAGAGATTGAAACTCTCATAATTTGCTGGTGGGACTGTAAAGTGATAAAAACCACTGTTATGACAATTCCTTAAAAAGTTGGAAATAGAAATACCATTTGATCCAGCAATCCCATTACCAGGTATGTATCCTAAAGAAGTGAGAGCCAGGACATGAATAGATATATGCACACCCATGATCATCACAGCACTATTCAGAATAACAAAGAGATGGAAACAACCTAAGTGCCCATCAGTGGAGGAAGGGATGTGCAAACTGTGGTATATACACACAATGGAATAACATGCAACACTAAAGAATCTGCAAAGCAGCACATAATGTGGATGAACTTGGAGGACATTATGCTGCAAAATAAGTTAATCACAAAATAAATATTGTTTTAGTCCACTATTATAAAAAGTCAAGGTAAGGTTTTTACATGGAAGAGAACTTTCTTTGTCAGTTACCAGGGATGGGGGTTGGAATTCCTAGATAGGTTGGAGAAAAAAAAAAATGTGTCTATATCTATCTATCTATCTATCTATCTATCTATCTATCTATAGGAGCTCTGGTAGCATAGTGGCTAAAGCGCTTGACTGCTAACCAGAAGGCTGACGGTTCAAACCCACCAGCCACTCCTCAGAAGGAAGGTTGGGCAATCCTACTTCCGTAGTGATACTGCCTCGGAAACCCAAGGAGGGGTCGCTATGAGTCGGATTTGACTTGACAGCACATAACAACAACAACAACATATATATATATATATATATATATATATACATATACATGCACACAAACACACATATATATGTACACACACCAAAGATATTAGAGTTTCCCAGGGTAGGGTGGAAGGGAAAAGGGGAAGCTTTTGTTTGCAGGCCATTGACTTTATGCAAATAGTGGTGGAATATTTTGGAAAAGGATAGAAATAATAGTGGCACAATATGAAAATATCAATGTCCCTGAGCTGTAAATGTGGAAGTTGTTATGTTGGCAAATGTTTTATTGTGTATATTTTCACTACAATCAAAGTAAATAAATAAATAAATAAGGAAAGAAAGATAAGGAAGGCTACCAGAGAATTCAAATGAAGAATTTCTACACTGAAGTAAATGAGAATCTCACTCTACAAAGAAAAGATGCGTAACAAGAATCACTGAGAAGTCCAAATTTCCTAGACCTTAATTGCTTATAGAAGAACATTGTTGGAAAAGGCAGAGAGGCAGACACAGTATGCCAGGGCCGTAAGTTGAAGCGGTTTCAATCACAAGTATGAAGTGAATCCATCAGCACGCGTCTTCATGATTACATATTCTAAGTCTAGTTTTTGGAGTAAGAGCTCTGTGATTGTAACCTGGCTATGTCCTTTAGTACTTTGTAAACCTTTGCTCTTGTTAGGTGCTGTCAAATTAGTTCTGACTCATAGGGATTCTATGTACAGCAGAGCAAAAAATGATACTGTGTAAACCTCACAGTTATTGCCATGTTTGAGCCCATTGTTGCAGCCACTGTGTCAGTTGATCCTGTTAAGTGTCTTCCTCTTTTTTGCCAAGCCTCTATTTTTCCAAGCATGAGATCCTTCTACATAGATTGGTCCCTCCTGTTATCATAGCCAAACTACTTGCCAGATTAGCTTCACTTATTTAGGAGCTCTGGTAGCATAGTGCCTAAGGCATTTGACTGCTAATCAGAAGCCTGGCAGTTCAAACCCACCAGCCACTCCTGGGAAAGAAGGTTGGGCAATCTATTTCCATAGTGATACTGTCTCGGAAACCCAAGGAGGGGTTGCTCTGAGTGGGGTCTGACTCGATGGCACATAACAACAGTAACAATTTAGCTTCTCTGAGGTTTCTATGAATTCTTCACTGATATATATAAATAAAAATAACATTGTTCTAAGGACTGAAGTAGATAATACATATATGTAAATTATTGAGCATGATACAAAATAAATCGCACATTAAATTACTGCTACAGGTAAAGGTCAGTATTTTGAAACACAGATTTTACCTTGAGTCATCTTCTTCTCAAGGTCATTTGAATTCTTCCATCCACTATGTTTTGCAATTTTCTGAGAACTGACATTCTATTGATTACTTCTGACTCTATCTTGTCTCTGCTCAAATAGGGTAGGTTATGGATTATATCCTGTAATAAGACTGCCATCCATCAAGAGATACCCTGCTTCTGAATTGTGTTGACCAGGTCTTGTAAGAGAACTCAAATGTTTTGTTCTGTTTTTCGTCTCCTGTCCCAATGAACAAAAATCACCACTACCACCACCACAAAAAGCAAAAGTCCCAGACATTAACAGCTTAAATATATTTAGCAGACTTTACTGAGTGTTTTGAGAAGGAAAGTGTTTATGTAGCAGTGATAAAAATGACTTCAAATTTAGTATCAGACATAACCGTTCCTTAAAGTTCTTTGATCTCCACTGCCTTCCACAGAAGATTTACCACTGAATAAATAGTTCAGTGGTTAAAACATTCAGCTGCTAACCAAAAGGTCATTGACTTGAATCTACCAGCTGCTCCTAAGGAGAATGCTGTGCCATTTGCTTCTGCAAAGATTTACAGTCTTGGAAACCTGTCCTATAGAGTTACTATGAGTTGGAATTGACTTGATGGCAGTAGATTTGGTTGGGTTATATAGCCCCATGTGGTCCTTTGGCTTCTCAATATGATAAATCTTCCTGTAATCTATCTCTCTTTTTCTTCACTTTCCTCACATCTCCATTCCATATGGACCCTAGAAACAGCAAGTAAGCTAGTTATATTAAGCTCCCTATACTAACCTAGCTCCACATTCCCTTTTGAAACTCCCAAGCACTCTGTAGTGCTCCTCTGAGCAAAGTCACCACTAATTCCCTTCATTTCATAAAGGATTTGTAGAAGTATCTCCCTCTACTCTCTTTCCTACCCACTTCTTTAAGTAGAACTACCCTCAAAAGCAGCTTCGGCTTAAAGAGAATTAATTGTATTATTAAAATTATTTGTTATTTATTATTAAAAACAGACTTTTGTTATCATTGTCTTTGACTAAACTATTGATTAAATAACTTATCCATGATCATATACATTGCTATTGGTACCACTTTGATATGCAAAAATATGTGCACTACTTTTATGCTTCTGCTATTCCATGTAACTAATATCTTCCTTAATATTCCTCCACTCTATAAGATCTTATTGTCCTTCCATAAAATATGGTCTTGTTTCCCTTAATCCTTCCAAGGTTTACACATTCTTTTATATGGTACTGTTTTCATAATTAGTTAACATTTTTTTGTTCCATAAATAACTAATGATGAGATATTATTTTATGTTCATTAAATTACTTATATAAAACATATGCTTAAAGTTATTAATATAATTGTCTATATAGACTGGGTATTATAATTTTCTGGCCACTTGTGTTAAATTACATCTAATTCTCAAGCATCTTTTCGTGGCAGAAGTCATTACCATTTCCTTTAAAGTTGTGGGCATTGATTTTCACAGTATATTGTTAACTTAAATCAGAGTCAGGAAGTGTCAGTCTTTAAGCCCACACTAAGAAATTCCTTCCTCAAGTCCCAATAACTCCCCTCGATCCATTCTGCCCTTCCCTCCTCTATACTTATTTATGACACCTTAAACTCAGGTTTTATATTACCTTATTATCTGGACAATATATAGTACTCTTAACAATTGTCAAGTATCAGTAAGAATGTACTCACTGAATTTTTAATAAAATTTCTGAAAACAGCATATTGTGTATAGAAAACACACACACACACACCCTCATTGCCATTGAGTCATTTTCAACTTACAGTGACCTCCATTGGGTTTTCAAGGCATAAATCTTTACAGAAGTAGATTGCCCCATCTTCCTTCTGTGGAGCAGCTGGTGGGTTTGAACTGCCAACCTCTGGTTAGTGGTCAAATCCCTTAGGCACTACCAGAACACAGTGAACTCAAAAATCTACCTCAGCTAAAGTGGAACTCCTAGGGCTTCCTTTCTGTGCCAAGTCAGGGATCAGTCATGAGACTTCAAATATGTTTTATTCACAGATAATGTTTCTTGGAGACATCCAACATTGGGCTCTATTTTTATTATAAAACTTATCGAATATTTGCAAGAATATTCCTGTTCCTGTCACCTGGAGGAAATATTCCGAAAGGTGGGTTTTCTAAGCTTCTCCCACTGAAATTTTGTGAATGTTCAGCTATTCAGTTGGAAGCCTAGAGCAGCTCTAGACATGTTATTTGTCCTCTAATAATGTCCTTTTTCTCTAGATAAGCTTTGAGGTTCTTTGATGAGCTGGTAAATCTGGAAGTCAAATTCAACCTGTCATGGTCTACAGCCACTAGAAAATAGTCATTGACTTTAACTGTCCTCCTGCACTGAATAGGCAAACTAGTGGAAACTAATTTGCCTGTGTCCGTCATAGCTATCAGATCTAGTCACAAATTTTAAAAGTCTGCATTTCATGTTTAGAAGTATATACTGCTATGATTCTTATAGATGTAAACACTTATTATTTATTTATTTATGTTGCTTTCCCAGTTTAAACTAAGATTCTTCACTCAGAAAAATGTGTCTATGCATTTTCTTTTCTCTTTTAGATCCAACGTTCATTTGAGATGCCAGAAAGTAAGACACAGATGCCCACTACTGAAAGGGTGACTTTGACTAGGTATTTCTACCTCTTCCCAGGATATTAAAATAAGTAAGTTTTACCATTGTCTGGGGGCAGGCGCGTGTGTTTGGTAGGGTGAGAGGGAGAGGGTGAATGTTTAAACTCCATCCTGGTTAAGGTTCTAGTATAATAAACTGGGGACACTGAAGGGAAGTCTGTCTGATACTCAGTGCAGAGCATATTACTCTTCTCTCATGGCTCTGCAGACCTGGGTGATCCTTTCTCAGAGTCAGCTGATACTGGATACTGACTGAGGGGTGGGCATAAGAATATGAATCCTCAGTTTGGATTTCTTCCCTTTCACCCCATAAGTCAATATTTAGATATAGCATTGGTTATTGCCTTTTACATGAGGCGTTGGTGGTTCAACGGTAGAATTCTTGCCCCTGATGTGGCAGACCTGAGCTCAATTCTTCGTCAATGCAACTCATGCACAGCCACCAGGCTTCAGGGGCCTTCCAGACTAAGGTAGAGTAAGAAGAAAGACCGGATGATATACTTCCAAAAAATCAGCCAATGAAAACACTATGGATCACAATAGAACATCGTATCATTTGCAATCAATCAAGGGGACTGTACAGAATTGGGCAATGTTTTGGTCCATTGTTCATGGAGTCATCACAAGTCAGTGTCTGATTTGGCAGCAGCTGACAGCAGCAACATTTCTTTTGAAAAAGAATGTCTTCAAAGATGTAATGTACATATTACTTTAATTTTTTAGTAAAACACTTCTTTGTTTTCTTTCTTTTTCTTTTTTCCCTTTTATTTTTACTGTAGGAAGCCATGATTTCTGACATTCTGTACCTGTTTTTGGAATCTTGTCTGCAGGACATGGAAATTATTTTTTAAAACATTCAAATAAATCTGAAATAAAAATGAAAAGTTGTCCTGTTGTTTTAACAGGCTGGGAGGGCGGGGGCTGGAGGGAAGAATATTACTAGAGTTGGAGTCTTTAGACTTGATTGATATAAAACAAAGTCACCAATAGGATCATTCTTTCTTTTGAAACAAAGCAAAAAATCTTGTTCTGGGTATTCTGTTTTAAAAATATGATGAGAGTCAGAGTAGATCCTTGATGTCAAGGAAAGTTTAGCTCGGTAGGGGAGATGTATAGAAATTGACAGTTACAACAAAGTATGATGAATGATGTACCCAAATTCTCAGAGCTCACCTCCGATAAAGACACAACTAGATCGAAAGGAAGGTTGGGCAATCTACTTCCATAGTGATACTGCCTCGGAAACCCCACGGAGGGGTCGCTATGAGTCAGGTCCCACTCGACAGCGTATAACAACAACAACAGAACCTATATATGTCCATCTTCTTTAAGGCATTTGTGGGATACAAAATAATTCTGATTCAATTTCAGACCCTTAGTAGTGTACCATCTTATTTAGAAGACCAGAGAGTAAACAAACATGAAACAATTGTGGACAGCACATGACACCATATAAATAAACACTATGGTGTGAGCTGTATACAAAATAATGTTCTGTGTGATGCAGTGATAATAAGTTTGGTGTCAAATCTTTCATTCAGCAAGTTTTCGGTATGGTAGTATAACCCCTTACTAATCCCAGTCTTTCATATGTGATGATAAATTTTTGATCTTTCAAGGATCCTCAAAATTCAACATGCCTCGTAGGAGAATAGAAGGGCAGTGTATGCACAGGGAGACAGCTCTGGGGGCCAGTAGTACACGGGAGGGAAAGACAAAGAGGTTAACTATGGGGAGGAAGTGGGAGGGGAAGCTGTTGCATTGTGTGAAATTGCAGCCAATGTCAAGAGACAAAGTGTATGTAAACTGCTGTATGGAAAGTGAATTTGCTCTGTAAACTTTCACCCAAGTCACAATAAAAATTTTTTAAAAAATTGAACACGCCAAAGCCTTTTTTTTTTTTTTTTCCTTTTCACTACCTATTTTTCTGGATGTATCTCTTCTGTGCAATCATGCATTTTTTTTTTTTTTTTAAGCTAGGGGCCATAGTCTCAGTGGTTACATCAGGCTCCATCAGACCAGCAAATCTGGTCCCCCCCCCTTTTTTTTTAGTGATTTTGAGTTTTGTTGCACATTGTTCTCCCACTCTATCCTGGATCTACTACATAGATCCTCCTCAGAGTGGTTAACAGAGGTAGCCAGGCACCAGCTAGTTCTACTGGTCTCATAGTGGTATAGGCTGAGGATATCATGGTGTACCAGACTCTTGGACTAATTGTTTCCATGTATCTTTGGTTTTCTTCATTCTTCTTTGCTCTGGACGAGCAGAGATCCATCATTGCAACTAGACAGCTGCTTGTAAGATTTTAAGATCCCAGTTGCTACTTGCCAAAGTAAGAGGTGGAAAAATGTTTTGTGTAGTATGTTATGCCAATTGAGCTTGATGTCCCCTGTGACTATGGTCCCAAGCCTGCAGATCCAACCACTCATTCCCTCTGAGTAGCTGTCTGTGGCAAAGAAGTGACTTCAAACTTGTCCCTTGTCATCTCCGCTATATACCTGGGAGTTCTTACAGAACATACAAATACACTTGTAGAAAGATTGTCTGCCAACCCTGCACGTGGTCTCGGGCACACTTCCCCCTGAAGAGACATAACTAATAGTTCAGCCTGTTCATCCATCTACCCACCTGTATAGCCATGTTTGCCTTCACTGACAATGCAGTACTGTATGTGCAAAAGGGTTCGTCTTTGTAGTCTGTGCTTCCCATGCACCTCTCTCTTCTTCCTCAATGCCACCATGTTGATCACTCATATTTGGTACATTGCCCTTTTGTTCATCCATATCAGTACTTACCTCTACCTCTCTAACACTGTTCCCTTCCCTCCCCTCCCACCCCTGGTAACCAAAAAAGAAAATTTCCTTCCATATAGAAACCTTTCCTTGATTTTTTACAATAACAGACTAATACAATGTTTGTCCTTCTGTGATTGACTTTTTTCACTCAGCATAATGTCATCCAGGTTCATCCACATTATGCAGTGATTTGCAGATTCTACATTGTTCTCTAGGGTTGCATAGTATTCCATTGTGTGTATGTACCATAGTTTGGTTATCCATTCTTCAGTTGATGGACACCTAGGTTGTTTCCATCTTTTTGGTGTTGTAAATAGTGCTACCACAAACATGGGTGTGCATATATCTGTCCTTGTCCTAGCTCTCACTTCTTTAGCATATATACCTAGTAATGAAATAATTGAATGGCTGGGTCAAGTGGTATTTCTAATTCCAACTTTTTAAGAAATCACCATACTGCTTTCCATAGTGGTTGTATCATTTGGCAGTCCCACTAGCAGTGTATAAGAATCTCAATCTCTCTGCATCTTTGCCAGCATTTGTAATTTTCTGTCTTGTTGAACTTTGCTACTAGTGCTTGGGCAAGACGGTATCTCATCGTTGTTTTTATTTGCATCTCTCTAATGGCTAATTATCATGAGTGTTTCTTCATATGTTTGTTGGCCGCCTGAATATCCTCTTTGGTGAAGTGTCTATTCATGTCTTCTGCCCATTTTTTAATTGGACTAATTGTCTTTTTGTCGTTGAGGTGTTGGAGTTTTCTATCAATTTTAGAGATAAGTCCCTTGTCAGATATGTCATTGCCAAATATTTATTTCTCAAAATGTAGGTTCTCTTTTGACTCTTTTGGAGAAGTCTTTGGAAGCAAATAAAAATTTAATTTTTAGAAGGTCCCATTCATTTAACTTATCTTCTGCTGTTTTTACATTTTGGATTATGCTTGAAAGTCTATTTATGCCATATATTAGGGCCCCTAAATTTGCTTCTAGTTTTTCTTCAGAAACTATATAGTTTTAGGTTTCACATTTAAGTCTTTGATCAATCTGGAGTTAGTTTTGTGTATGGGGTGAGGTACAGATCTTTTTTCATTTTTTTGCAAAAGGATATCCGGGTTTGCCAGTACCATTTGTTAAAAAGACATTCTCTTCCTCATTTAATGGATTTTGGCCCTTCGTCAAAGATCAGCTGACCATAGGTTAATGGATCTTTTTCTGGGTTTTCAATTCTATTCCATTGATCTATGTGTCTGTCATTATAACAATATCAGGCAGTTTTGATTCCTGTGGCTGTATAGTAGGTTTTGAGATCTGGCAGTGTGAGACCTCCTACTTTGTTCTTCTTCTCAATGTTGTTGTTGTTGTTATTTGCCGTCGAGTCGGCCCCGACTCATAGCAACCCCTCCTTGGGTTTCCGAGGCAGTATCACTACGGAAGTAGGATTGCCCAACCTTCCTTCCGAGGAGTGGCTGGTGGGTTTGAACCGCCAGCCTTCTGGTTAGCAGTCAAGTGCCTTAGCCACTATGCTACCAGAGTAGTGCTTTGCATATCTGAGGTCTCTTTCCTCTCCATATAAAGTTAGTGATAGGTTTTTCCATATCCTTAAAGAATATTGATGAGATCTGGATTGGAATTGCATTCAGTGCCTAGATTGCTTTGGGTAGAATAGACATTTTCACAATGTTCAATCTTCCTATCCACAAGCATGGTATGTTCTCCCATTTATGCACATCTCTTATGGTTTCTTGAAGTAGTTTTTTATAGTTTCCTTTGTACAGGTCTTTTGTGTCCCTACTAAGATTTAGTTCCAAGTATTTTATTTTTTTTGGTAGCTATTGTAAATGGCATTGATTTCCTTATTTCTTTTTCAGCAATCTCTTTGCTGGTGTAGAGGAATCCTGATTTTTGGATGTTGATTTTGTATCCTGCCATGATGCTAAATCTCTCAATTAGTTCCAGTAGAATTTTGACTGAGTCTCTTGTGTTTTCTATGTATAGGATCATATCATCAGCAAATAGGGGTAGTTTGACTTCTTCCTTACCAATTTGGATGATTTTGATTTCCCTTTCTTGCCTTATTGCCCTGCCTAGGACTTCCAGTACAATGTTGAATAGAAGTGATGATAGAGGACATCCTTGTCTGGTTCCTGTTCACAAGGGGAATGGTTTCATTCTCTCTCCATTGAGGATAATGTTGGCTGTTGGTTTTGCATATAGACCCTTTATTATATTGAG